GCATCTATAGTGTTGCCTGTTAGATCTTAAATTCAGTGTGTCCAAAACTGAACTCAATATCTTTCCCTCCCTTCCAGACTTCCTTATTACTATTAAGGGTACCACCATCCTCCCAGTCACCCAGGTTCACAATTTAGGTATTATCTTCAACTTCTTACTATGTTTCGCCTCCCATAGCCAATCTATTACCAAAGCTTGTTGATTTTGTCTTCCTAACACCTCTCACATATGCCCCCTTATCTCTTTTGGCATCACCTCATGCCTAGATTATTGGAATAGCCTGTCAGTTGGTCTCCCTCCACAAGTCTAGACCCACTCCAATCCATCCTCCATTCAGCTGTCAAAGTGATCTTCCTAAAGTACAGGTCTGACCACATCATCCTCCACCCCTCCTTAAACTCCAGCAACTCCCGTTCACTTCCAGAACAAAATTTAAAACCCTCTGTTTGCTGCACAGAGCCCTTCATAACCTGGCTCTCCCTACCTCTTCAGTTTTTTCACATGTTATGCCATCCCCTATGCCCATGCCAATATTGTACTCTGTGAACCAATGTCACTGATTTCTTTACTATTCCCTGAACAAGGAACTCCATCCCCAAGCTGGGCATTTTACCTGTCTCCTGTCCCAGTAATGTCCTCCCACCTCAGCTTCAGCTCTTGGCCTCTCTGACTTCCTTTAGGTACCAGCTAAAATCTCATCATCTACAGGAAGCTTTTCTCAATTCCTGTCAATTCTGGTGACTTCCTCCTGTTGATTATTTCCAATTTATCCTGTATGTAGCTCATTTGTACCTAGGGGTATTTATGTTGCCTCACCCATTAAATTATGAACTCCTTGAGAGCTAAGACTGTGCTTTGCCTTTCCTTGTATACCCAGAGCTTAGGGTAGTGCCTGGCACATAGGTGCTTAGTAAATGTTTATTGATTGACTAAATTAACTTAGCTTGTCTTTCCAGTTCTTCTGTAATCTGGCTACATCCTGCCTTTTTTAATATGTTGATGGGTCTGTGGTCTCACTGATGTGCGTTTTCCCTCAAAGAATGCAGATTGCAACTCATCTATCCCTACCCATTCTTGTGCTACCTGTGTCCTTGTTCTCACATCAATTCTTTTTTAAATTAATTTTAATTTTAATTTTTAACTTAAGTACTAAATAGAGCAGTCATTTGCGTATCTACAGTCATTGTTATTTGTCCTTTGTTTTCGAAGAGGACCGATGACGTCTTGGGGTGATGTCCTGACTTCAGCATGAATTGGATTTGGGTGAGGCAGAATTGCGCAAAGTCGTTAGCCTCTCAGTAGAAAAAGAGAATTGTACATAAAATTGTAAATTTCTGTTATGCACTACCTGACTTTCTTTCAGTATATACTAAGATTAAAATGTAGCTTTCAAAGCTAGCCTTCCCTGGCTTCTGGTTCTCCCCACTTAAAAATTCTCCACATGGCATCTACTTAATAAAATTGGATTATAGGGAAGATAGATCTTTGATACTGTATGCATTCCAGTGGGAACATATTTATCCTTTGCTATTATTATATGACTAGCCTATCTCCTTTTTTGGGCATAAATCTCCCTTAATACTACTGTTTACACTGCTTCTTCTGCATCATTCCTCACTGGTAACATTTTGCAACCTACTTATGGTCATTTCACACTTTGGTCAATTACTGACAACTTCAATTCTTTAGAAACCTGGTATTCTATGAATTTCAGCCACCCAACTGCTGACCACACACTGATGTTAGAAAGACGGGCACTTGTTTCACGGAGATGCTGAATGGGGGCCACTCACCTTAACGATCTGAATGAGGGCGATTTGTTTGCGTGAGTTTTGCAATGAGACTTGATTAGCTTTCCCCACCCATTTCAACTCTTCCATTTGGATATTCAAAAGCTTCTCTTTCCAAATGAGTACTTATGTGATAGAAGGAAAAGAGAAAACTGGTGAATAAGATTTCATGTGTCCAAAGGAGATTGAGTAAAGAACATTCTTTGCAGCTGACTAGCCCTAGGAGGGATATTATGGCACTCCAAATCAATGTCCAGATTGTGGTGGCGCAGCATCCTCTCCAAAGGTGCTTTCCATGTTTCCCCTTTTGTAGAATATTTGTGTTAAGGATGCTCCCCCACTTTTCAGGGGGCCCAGGTGGGGACTGGTGGAAAACAAGGAGTTACCTACTAATTCCACATGCTGTTTTATGAATTTTTTTTGGAGCACTTGATTGGTTGAGGGGGTAAAGGAAGGAGAAAAGGAAGTCAAGGTAAGACTCTAACTCATCCCTTGCTTGACGTTGAAACCAATTCTCAGAGGCAGGAGCCTGGTTTTTACTCTCTTGGATGAGCTTTTGAGAAACCCTCCCCTGAATAAATGATCTTCTATCTCACACAAAGAACAGAGGTACCAAAGTTTGTTCCTGACCTACATTTTTTTTTATTTAATTGGGTTCAACTGTGCTAGTCTCCAGCTCCTAACATTCTCTTAGAGCTTTTTGTTTAGTTATCTATGAGATGAAACAGTAGACAATTTGCCCATGGCTAGAAGAGGTCCTTCCACAGAAGCTTAGGGTCCTTCTAAATACCACATTTTCTCCAAAGGAAATTCAATTCACTTTTTTCCCCATTCAGTTTTGGATCCAATTCAACATCCATTGTCTAAGAAGCTTATACTGATGGAACAGCTCTACGGGTTGTCCATCCAATTTCTTATCACTATCTGGACAATAAATATTCCTCATCTGCTTCGTTTTTCCTGTGTAGATAGTTAGTCTAAACTCTTGAATAGTTATAGTTCTCATTCAAGAGGCTCTGCAGTAGTCCAGGATTTGATGCAATCAACACAATATCCTCTGTAAGCAAGAGAAGCTGGAGGAACTCACCATCTACAGGACTTTATCTCTAGTTTGGACTCAACATTGAACATCAGAAACGGAATTGCTGAAATAAATGTTGATAGGAGAAAGACCACTTAACTTGGAGTTAAGAGCTTGTCTTTGAGTCCTGGCTTTGTCTCTTAGTAGGTGGGAAATAACTTTCTGAACTTGTTTCTTTGTGTGTGAAATGGAAATAATAATACTTGTACTACCTCAGAAGGTTGCTGTGAAGATGAGGCTTCACACACCTTAAAATGCTATTGGAATGTGAATTCTTATTCAGCAGATTAATATTAAATAGCACTGTCATAGAATGAAAGCTCTCTCTGTGGATCCCCAGCATCTCACACGCAGCCTGACACATAGTAGGAGCTTAATAAATGTCTGTTGATTGAATGATTAATAAATGTTTGAATTCAGAACAGCTAGATCTCTTACTGATCTGTCCAGAGTCCTAGTCTCTAGATGGGCCTTTGACTGTCCGGTACTTAGTCGTGACTCTAGTATATTTGCCATTTAACTGAATTGTACAGTAGAACGAATGGTAGTTTTGGAGACAGAGAACCAGAGTCCAAATTATGGCTCTGTCATTTAGAACCTGGGGAATCTTAGCCAACCTCTTTGGGCATCAGTCTCCTCGTACATAAAATAAGTATGTTGGCCTCTGATGCCTCCTCTCACTCTATGAAATATCTTAAATTTGCTGATTTACCCAAATGACTGAAGCTCTGTCTTATTCCTGTAGCCTCCTCAAAGCCCTGGCATCTGGGTATACACAACTACTTCCTGCTCCATCCAGATCACAGAGGAAGGGAATACTTGGTAGTTAGGGTAGCCAGAGATAATGAAGTCAAACTCTGCCTATTTCAAAAGTTTCACATGTTTCCCCAGGCTAACTTTAGTGCTTAGAATCTGGATTGCACAGTTTTACCTTTACTGTGTTACATTTTTATCAAATGGCTTCATGTCTACTCGACATTGGATTGTAAATTCCGTGAGTAAAAGAATTACATTTTATACTCTATATCTTATACTCTATATCTGACCAAAAAATAAAATAAAAAGATGGACTGGTTATGTATCAAGAGGACAGCATAAGCAATGGGCAGCAAATACATTTCATGTAATATCAGAGGACTTGAGAAAGGCTCCAGCACATTTCATGGACCCCTTATGGCACATTTACAGAAGACTTGGCAATGATCAAAGGATAAACATTTGCTGATGAAAGAATGGAAACAAAGAAAGAAATCAAAGGACTTTTAGATCGCACACATATATATTATACATATACGCACGTATGCAATGGTTATGCTATAGGATGATATTCTATTTTGATTTAGAATTACAAAAGACAGCCATGTAGGAAGTTGATCTTAAACTTTAAAAGTATGCTGGAGGGCTTCTAAGTGATCCAGTGGGAATGGGCTCCGCGTTGTCTTCACTGCTCTAAGTAGGCTTTCATTCTACCAAAGGTACATTTTAAAACTTCCATCCTAAGTGTGACTAGAGTGCCCTTAAAAAGTTTACAATCTAGCCCTGAGGGATTTAACTTTCTTTGTGAATCTGCCTCTTGAGAGACAGGTGTCTAATCTCTTTTTTAAAAGCTTAATTTATTTTATTTTATTTTTCTCAATTACAAATCAACATGTTTTTTTCAGATTTTGAGTTCCAAATTCTCTTCCTTCCCTTGAATAGGCAAGCAACTTGATATAGATTATACATGTGAAGTCTTTCAAAACATTTCCATATTAGCCACGTTGCAAAAGAAAACACAGATTTCTCCACCCCCCCAAAAAAAAACCCAAGAAAAATGAAGTTTAAAAAAATATCCTTTGCTCTGTGTTCAGACTCCGTCTGTTCTTTCTCTGAATGTGGGTAGCATGTTTCATCCTAAATTCTTCAGAATTGTCTTGGATTATTGCATTTCCAGAGTAGCTAGGTCATTCGCACTTGCTCATGGTACAATATTGCAATTACTGCCTGCAACGTTCTCCTTGGTTCTGTTCAATTCACTTTGCATCAGTTCGTGTAAGTCTTCCCGACGTTTTTCTGTAGCCATCGTGCTCCTCATTTCTTAAGCTTAATAGTATTCCATCACAGTCGTATACCACAACTTGTGTCTGGTCTCTTAATTACAAGCCCCGCCTAACGTGAACCTTGAAGGCCAGCATCATTTGTTTCCCCCTTTAGCTGGGTGAAGCCTTCTCCCTAGCGCGGCTGCCAGCATAACCAGTAGAGCGGCACGGAGCGGGCGGGGCCCACGCGAGCCCTTCCGAAGCTACGCCAAGGCTGTGCACGAAAGCGCAGGGTCCCCCCGGGCTCCTGGGGAGGCTAGAGCTGGGAGTCCACATCTGAGGCTCTGCAGAAGGGCGGGGGCGGGGGGAGGGTCCCCTCGGCGCAGCCTGTCTTCCTGCTCGGTTCGCCTCATTCAGCCCCGAGTCTGTGCTCCCGGCTGGGCTGGGAGGGGGTGCCAGGAGCCGGCGCCAGCCTGTTCGGGTACCGGGCTCAGGGGCCGAGGACGCAGCTCCGCAGCGCCGGGGAAGGGGGCTGAGCGGCCGGCGGCACCGGAGCCGCCCCTGCCATGGTGATGGCGAGGCTCCGAGACTACTGGCCGCTGCTGACCGCGCGACTGACCGGCGCTCTCTGGGCTCTGCTCTTTTGGACCCTGGTGTATGGCTATTGTGGGCTCTGCGCCTCCATTCACCTGCTGAAACTTTTATGGAGCATCGGGAGAGGACCCAGCCAGACCTTTCAGCGGCTAGTGCGGGAGAACCCCCCAGCTTGCTTGAACGACCCCTCCTTGGGAACCCACTGCTACGTGCGGATTAAGGTAAAGGCCAAGACTCCCCCTGCCACGGCTCAGCCCCGCTGGGAGCGCAGCGCAGCCCGGGAGGGAGGGAGGCTGGAGAGTCCCGGAGAGACCCAATCGTCTTCGTGACCCGGGGGCAGTTTGGTGCCAAACCATGCAGTACCCAGCCGTGCCGCGACCAAGGAACCGGGACGGTGGGCCGCCAGCATAGGGGGCTCTCAGACGGCAGCGAGAGATCTGATGGGGGGCTCGGAACAGAAAGAGGAGTGCAGGGGGGCCAAGACTTGTGCTCACGTTTGCTGCCTCCATCCCTCCTCTGTGTGTGTGTGTGTGTGTGTGTGTGTGTGTGTGTGTGTGTGTGTGTGTGTGTGTGAGAGAGAGAGAGAGACAGAGAGAAAGAGAGAGAGAGAGAGAGAAGAGAAATGGGGGGGGGGCACATCCGCACATTTACTCAGATTTGACAAACAGCAGTCCATATTGAAAGCTCAGTTTTGAAGAAAGGGAAGGGGTGGGGGGAGAGATTAGAATTTCGTTAACAGGAATCCTATCCTCACTTGTCGGCCCCCCCCCCCCCGCAACACATACACGGTAGGTCTTTTTTTTTCCTCTGCAGAGCAGAGGGGTTTTCTCCAGTAACCTTTTTGCCCTTAGAACCTAGATCAATCTTAAGGAAGTGAGTATGATATCCAAGTGGTTATGAGGAGCCTGGCCGCGCCAAAAATGCGCGGAATGAAAAAGTCGATAGAGTAATTCATGGAAAATTTGAGAAAGTGAAAATTAGAAGAGCCGGGAATTGTGCATCCCCGGATGCCCTAGAAATTATTAGCAAATGATTTACAGTACATGTGGTGAGGGGGAGGAGGAAGGGGGACAGTGCAATAAGCTTAAGGAGAACTCGAATAAAACGTAAGCCTTTCCTTCCTTCCCTGTGCTTCCGGATGGCCTTGCAGATAGATAGATGCCCCCCAGGGCCTCTATTTCAGTGCCCTGCCACACGGGCAGACCCAGGCACACTGCACCAAGCAATCTGGCTTTTGGATTACTTGCTGTCACCTGGCCACGGATCTGCTCCCAGGCTCCTTTAGGAATCGGGAGCCCTGAGCCATCGTGACATTTTTGCTGCACAGGCTCCAGGACAAGGAAGTCCTCCAGTTGGGATGGAAATTGTCCAGTAGATGGAGGGGCGGGGCCAGGGGGCCAGCATTCTCCCGAAATCCTGGTGGTACACAATATACTTAATTGGACCAGACGAGCTGGGAGAATCTGTCAATCAGTTCATAACCATTGAGCCCCTCACAAGTTTCTAGGTAGGTGTATCTTCTAACCTCAAGACAAAAGTCAGACAGGTTCTCCTGGACCAACTTAAACCAGCAGTAAGAGGTCTGGAGTTAGCAGTGGAAATTCCAGGAGGTTTCTTTTTCTTTGAGTACCTGGAAGGCTGCTCTGGGACGCTTGACCAAACTCTAGTTTCTAACTTCCTGATTTGGGCCTTTCATGCCTTTGCTAGCTTTCATTCCTCCTTGTGCATTCATTTGCTTTCCTTTCTATTGCTTACTCCATATTTCTTTCCTGTTCATCTAGTGTTTTTTTCTCCACCTCTCTGCTTCTCTGTCTCTCCCTCTCTCCTTAGCTCTGCCTCTCTGTCTTTGTCTCTCTGTCTGTCTGTCTCTGTTTCTCTGTCTGTCTCTCTCTGTGTGTCTCTCTCTGTTCTTACAATTTTTCTTCTTGTCTTGTCATGTCACTTACCTATGAAGTGAAATGTTGAACACTCAGGGCATTCCACTGTCAGGAATGATTACTAAAATGGCCAAGAGAGGGAGGAAACAGGCAGCAAGGAGCACTGTATAAACAGCATCCAACCGGAAGAAAATGTGGGAAGCAAAGACCTAAAAAAAGGGAGGAGGAGAGGTGTGAATTATGTAACTGATGGCATAGATACTGACTAGTATGCTGAGCAAAATATGTGATGAGGAGGTAAACAAGACTGGGAGATACATTCAGATTAGAATTCTTTCTACGCCTTACAAAGCCAGAACTGATGAAATGTGACACCTCAGTGGGATGAAAGTCACAATGGTGACCCTGCTTCCCTACCTCATAATGTATGATCTGCCCCTAGAGTAGTATAGGGAAGAAAGTTACAGTGAAGAATTTACCCCACTGATAAGTCATGGTTTTATTTATTTCTTGTTGATGTTACAAAATAATACAAACAAATATTTTAAAAATCAAAGGTAAAGCAGACTAAGTCTATTATTTTGGTATTTCAAAATATCACTGAAATTCCATATGTAATCTCTTCTTCTCCTGCAGGACTCAGGGCTAAGGTTTCATTATGTAGCTGCTGGAGAGAGGGGCAAGCCACTTATGCTGCTGTTACACGGCTTTCCTGAGTTCTGGTAAAAACCACTTCCCTTCCTTTCATTAAAGACTTCACTGACCTTTCATGGTATGATCTCTCATTTTCTAGTCATGCCATTTGACAGAGCTCTCTCTAATTCTTTTTTGTTGCCACTGGGGATTTGCACTACTCCCAAGGGGGTTTGAATGGTGGGATTTTGCACAGCTATGCACATCACAGCCTCCTAAGCTTATATTTTAACAACATGGATGTTTCCAATAGCAACTGCAAAGAACTCAGGCTACAAATTTTCATATACCAAGAGGCATGCTCTCAGGAGATGGCATAGTAGATAGAGTGTTGGAGTCACAAAGACCTGAGTCCAAATCCTTCCTCTGGCACAAGGCTGCTGTGTGACCTTGGCGAAGTCACTTCTCAGTGCTCTGGGTAATTCTCCATCAGTATAAGACATAGTCAAATGAATTAGTCTGAATGAGTGAAGGGAGATTCCATACAGGGAATTCCCTATACCAATGAAATCACAGATCCAGAATAATAATAATTACAATAACAACAACAATGATAACAATGATAATAATAATGATAACAAAATACTGCAGTCAGGCCTTAGGGGCCAGGCAGTGGAGCAGAAGAAAAGAAAAGATAAAAAATTTTTTTAAAAGATAAAAGAAAGAAAAGACAGGAGGCTACTGCTTTTAAGGAAGCTTAGTCTTGGGGGAGGAAGGGGGCACATGAATGTACACAGGAATCATCAAATATTTTTAAAATGTTTTTATTTATGTTTTCTGTTTCTTACATTATCATAGTTAACCCCAGTATTCTTCCCCTTCCCCCTCCCACAGACCTGTCTCCTGTAACAAATAGTATTTTTTTAAAAGAAGGAAAAAAATCAGTACAACTGATGGATACATGAAAGTCTGAAAACCTGTGCCATGAGTAGCACCTGAGCACCTCCCACCTCCATGAAGGGTGGGGGTGTCTTCTCATATCTCTTCACTAGAGTCCTTCTTGTCTTTATAATTTTGTTACATTTACCATTGGGTTTTTTTGTGTGTTGTCTGTCATTCTTTCCATTTACATTGTTGTGGTCACTGAATATATTGTGTTTTGGCTCTGCTTACATCACTCTGCATCAGTTTACATGGATCTTTCCATCTTCTCTGTATTCATCATTTCTTACAGCACACTAGTATTCTATTACATTCATGTACCACAGTTTGTTTAGCCATTCCCCAGCCAGTGGGCATCAACTTTACAACACACTTTTAACTAATAACATATCAAGAAGCTGATAATTTCATAGAAAATTAGAACTGGAAGGCGCAGCAGACACCATCCTCATTCAGCTCCCCCATTTAACAGCTGAGAAAACTGAGGTCCTGGAAGGTGGCTATCTGCTCCAGTGAACACATTATAGTGTGCATGCATATTTTATCTTTTCCTTTTGGTCATGTATACTACAGTTCACGATAGTGGTTAGCACAGATCTTAGAAAGAAAATCTATAGCTCTATCACCCCCACCCCACTACTCTTTATTATACAATAACTAGCAACCTGCTCCAGTTATACTTGAGTAGATAACTCAAGTGTAGACTGTCTGGTCCACATTTGAACACTACATGACAAATAATAAGTACAGAGAAAAAACAACCTATTATTGATTTTTTTTACCAGAACTTGAAAAATGTCTTTTTTTTCATGCTCAGTGAAAGGAGAAATTGGTTTTTGATCATATAGTTCTGGCTGTGATCTTGTGATGTTTTATAAGCTAAAGGCTGGTCAACAGCTGGATGGGAAAACCAGAATTTACTGAATGAACGCAAAATTGGTGCTAAAGAGTCCTTTATTTATGGAGTTCTATTTTAGATAAAATGTCAAAATGAAAGTTTGGCCATATTTTTTTCTAACTAAGGACAATGGGGTTTGACTCTACTTGTGATAAAGTGGACAATACCTCAGGCTGCATGAGGAGTAGAATAGATGGGGTAATATGAGAGGTTCAGGGCAGGATCCTATGCTTTGCCCCAAAATATCTACTCTACTCCTCTCAGTTCTTGATATTATTCCATTATAGATTACATCTATTCAATTCAATAAGCACCTATTAAATACCATATGTGTGCAGAGTCTAAATTTGGTAGGTGAGGGAGTAGGAATAAGATATCCATACAAGTAACTGTAATGGAAACTAAATTATTAGTGTCATAAGAGAGGTGTACACAAAGTATGGTGAGAGTTAGAGATCACATCCATTTGGAGGAAGATCATAACTTGACTTCATGGAAGGGGGTAGCGTTTGATTTGGGCCTCGAAGCACGGGTAAGACTTGGCAGGTAGCCATTGGGGGCTTTCCAGGTGGAGAGGAGATAATGTGAATAAAGGTGCAAAAGCATATGGCGTCATCCATCAACAGCATCGTTCTTCTCTTGCCAGGCTCCATCCTTGGCCGTGTCAACCCACTTGTACTGAGCCCTTACAGCACGATAGAAATCTCTGGAGAGCCTCAGAGGTGTCAAATTCAGAGTTGGTACTTGGAGTACTAATGGCCAGAAGCTCCCAAGTACAGCAGGAACCAGATTAAAATGTAACTGAGAAATGTTTAACAAAATAAATGAAAATACAATACAACATCAATGATGCTAATTTATGGCGCTCAAAGTCAAACGTCAGCTTCAGGAATTCGTTTCTGAGTTTGACACCACTATTTGGTGCATACCCACCTGTCCCAGGTGAAAATATTGCTAGTTAACAGCATCTTGTTTGTTGTTTCAGTCGTCTCTGATTCTTCGTGATCTCGTTTGGGGTTTTCTTGGCAAAGGTACTAGAGTGATGTGCCATTTCCTTCTCCAGCTCATTTTACAGATGGGGGAACTGAGGCAAACAGGGTTAAGTGACTTGCCCAGGCACTCACAGCTAGTAAGTGTCCAAGGCTGAATTTGAACTCATGAAAATGAATCTTCCCAATCCCAGGCACAGTGCTCTGTCCACTGCATTAACTAGCTACCCAGTTAACAGCTTACTTTCCTATTAATAATAAGGCAGTGTGTCAAACCTTCCCATAATTTAGTTTTTTAAAAATGCCCCAGAGCAGAGCTTCATATCCTTTCTATTTTTTGATCACAGACTTTTTTTAATCTTTATTTCAAAAAATTTAAATTTCAAGTTCTGAGTTGTCTCCCTCCCTCCCAACCCCACATTAGAGAAGCCAACATTTTATAAGTGTGTGTGTGTGTGTGTGTGTGTGTGTGTGTGTGTGTGTAAACTACCAATGCATACTTCTATATATCAGTTCTTTCTCTGGAGGTGGACAGCAGTTTCCTTCATAAGCCCTTTGTAGCTGATTTGAAAGATCATGTTACTCAGAGTAGCTTAGTCATTCACAGTTACTCTTGGAACAATGTTGCTGTTACTAGCTACAACATTCTCTTGGTTCTGCTCACTTTACTCTGCATCAGTTTGTGTAAGTCTTCCAGGTTTTTCTGAAATCATCCTGCTCATCATTTCTTACAGCACAATGATATTCCATCACAATCATTTAACACAATCTGTTCAGCCATTCCCCACCTCCATTTCTAATTCTTTGCCACCACAAAGAGAGCTGCTATAAATATTTTAGGACATATAAGTTCTTTTCCTTTTTCCCTGATCACCTTGGGAAGCAGACCTAACAGTGGTATTGCCAGATCAAAGAATATGCACAGTTTTATAACTCTTTGATCATAATTCCAAATTGCTCTCCAAAGGTCATGACTTTTTTGGAAGTCTGGCAGAGTCTATAGAACTCTTCTTAGAATAATGCTTTTAAATACATAGGATCACAAAGGAAATTAATTATATTGAAATACAGTTTTCAATTAAAAAAAACCAAAACAGAATCAAGTTAAGGAGCCCATATTAAGAAGTTTAAAGAACTTAAGAATCCATGGTCACAGATGGATTTGAACACAGCTTATCTTAACTCTGTTTAGCACTTTCTCTACTATGCCACACAGTGAAATATGCTGCCAATGAAAAGTATGTACTAGACTTTTGCCAGGAAGGAAGGAAATAAGCATTTATTAAGTAGCTATTATGCACCAGGCACTGTGCTAACTAATCGAGTTACAAATATTATCTCATTTGATCTTCACAACAACCCTGGGATGATAACCCTATTATTATCCCCATTTTACAATTGGGGATACTGAGGCAAGAAGAGGTTAAGTGACTTGTCCAGGGTCACACAACTAGATTTGATATGGGTCTTCCTGATTCTAGGCCTGGCACTCTATCTACTGCCCCACCTAATTTCCTGAAGCCAAGCAAAACTAGCCAATATTTATAAGCTCCATTCTCTTCATTTGTCTAAAAATTGAGACATCTACCCTTCCCCAAAACTCTGGTTCCTTTGCCATTCTTTTTTTTTTTTAGGCAATTGGGGTTAAGTGACTTGCCCAGGGTCACACAGCTAGTAAGTGACAAGTGTTTGGTCTGAGGCTGGATTTGAACTCAGGTCCCCCTGACTTCAAGGCCAGTGTTCTATCCACTGTGCTACCTAGCTGCCCCTCCTTTCCCATTCTCTTTGAACTTTCAGAAACCACTGACCTCAAAAACCACCCGTCAGCAACCCTGGCTGTCCTTTCTTTTGGTACCCTAAGATGTTGTTCATTTGGGATGGGTGATGTGAACTCAAGAAGACCAACCAGGGTACTGTCTTACTTATTCTGGTTATCAATTCTCTATTAGTCCATTTCCCCTCTATTCTTTCAAGTATAAAGATCATTCTCCTTGGAAGACAAAAGGTGAAAAGTGAGAGTTGAAAAGATCTTCATTCTTGCTTATCACCATCCTATCCATTCTGGGTGTGGGAGTCCTCTCTCTTCTTCACTTCTCTAACATCGCTTTTATGGAAAGCAAGTGTCCTTGTTACTTGCACCCTAAGAAAGTAGGTAGTACAAGTAACAGTCCCCATTCTAGGGTCAGAGAAGAAGCCAGAAATTTCCCCATCTTCATCCATCAACTAAGTGTCAGAACCCTGGGATTTAAACCCGTTTCAT